CTTATCGCGAGCAATGTTGTACAAGGCTGGATATTGTTCTCGGAGACTGGCACCGCCTAGCCAGATGTCTTCCCAAAAACGAATCTCCGATCCGTCCCTTATCGCGAAAGACCCAAAGCGAAAGAGATGTTTCTTTGCCGCCATTAGGTCAGCCCAAAAATGCGAGTCGCCAGGTTTCCAATATGCCTGAGACACCGCCTTGTGGCCTAGATACTTGTTGCGCGGTATGGTTTGTCAAACACCATTCTCAGTAAGAAGTTTGAACAACCATTTACTAAGGAGAGCCTCATTCTTAACCCGCAGGTCGTGAATTTCAAGGCCACCTTGGTCTTTCGGCCTACAAACCACACTCCACTTGGCTAGTCTGTATTTTTTCTTTTCCCCGTCTCCTTGCGAAAACAATTTGGATCTGAAATAGTCCAGTCTTTGCAGGACCCCTTTTGGGAGTTGAAAGAATGAAAGCATATAGAGAATCATATTTGTGAGGACAGAGTTAATAAAAAACAGTCGTCCTCCAACGGAGAGCGGCTTGCCTTTCCAGCTGCTCAACCATTTCTCTAACCGTTCCTCTACATGCTTCCACTCCGCAATGGTGAGACGTCGATAATGAATCGATATTTCGAAATATTTAATCGGGAAATGGCCATGTGTGCAACCAAACAGGTCAGCATAATCGGCCGCCGCCTCAACGGCTTCTCCAAGCAGAAAAATTCGCTTTTATGGAAGTTAATTTTAAGATCCGACATTTGCTCAAACGCTGAAAGCAAGAGTTTCAGGAGCCTTGTCCAGGTCATGTTCCATAAAAAGAACCGTGTCATCGGCATATTGCAGAATAGAGAGGCCACCAGCCACAAGGTGTGGCACTACTCCTGCAATCTATCCGTCCTGCTTGGCGCGCTCAATCAGAATGGCCAATATGTCAGCAACAATGTTAAATAACATTGGGGGCATGGAGTCACCCTGTCGTAGTCCTTTTTTTGTCTGAAAGTAATGGCCTACATCAACATTACCTTTGATGGCCACGCTACCTCCAGTTACAAAATTGTGGATCCATTAACGCCATTTATCGGAGAAACTTTTCATCGTTAAGGCCTGTTGGAGGAAAGATCATTTAACCTTATCATAGGCTTTTTTAAAGTCAATTTTGAATACTACTCCACTCATGTTTTTTTGGTGCATCTCGTGAACGGTCTCATGCAGGATTACTACGCCATCGAGTATATTCCTTCCTTGCATGAACGCCGTTTGAGATGGCCGGACAACATGGTCAGCTATCGAGTTTAACCTATTCGTAGCTACTTTGGTGAAAATCTTGAAGCTGACATTAAGTAGGCATATGGGTCTATATTGTTGGATCCGTTCAGCCTCCTTAATCTTCGGCAACAAAACAATCTCGCCAAAATTCAGCCTGAATAGGTCAAGTCGGTTGGCATGAAGACAATTGAACAACTCCAAAAGGTCAGACTTGATGATATCCCAGAAATTCTGATAAAATTCTGCGGGGAAGCCGTCTGGTCTTGGAGCTTTGTTATGTTCCATTTGGAACACCGCTGCTCTCACCTCCTCTTCTGAGAAAGGTGCCGTGAGGAAGTCATTCTCTTTTGCCGTGACTTGAGGAATATCCTCTGTTCGGTTCTCGTTAAGGGTGAAATTCCCTTCATCTAGCGGCCTGAACAGAGATTTGTAGTAGCTGGTGATATACCTTTTGAGATTCTCATGACCTTCGATCCGCCCTTCATCTTGTTGGAGACCAATTGGCGACCAATTGGAAGTATCTTGTATTACTATCTCCCATCAAGATGAATCAGCTTTGGATCTTTGGTAATATTTGATTTTCTCTTCTCGAAAAAGACGTGCAACCTTATCATTGGATTGATTTTTCAAATCAATCTCTTGTTGAGATAAGATGCGCGTCTCTGCAATTTTATAGAGGTCATCAATAATGGCAGAGAGGCGATGTTTTTCTTTTTTATACATCCCATTGGTGTGTTTAGCCCATGCAGAGAGGTATCGCCTCATGGCCCTCATTTTAAAGTTCCATCTCCGAATGAGTGTACGACCAACAGCGGGCTTCTCCCAAATGTTCTTGACAGGGAGATCCTAATTGCTAAGATTAGCCGTAATCAAAATAAAGTTAGTCATTGGCTAGAAGCCTATAGACTAGGAGGTTTGATCAATGTAAAATATATAGATTAGGTGGGTACACCCATATATCTGAAGATAATCATAAATATGGGATTTGATCAATGTAAAATATATAGATTAGGTGGTACACCCATATATCTAAAAGACTACATCAACTATCTAATACTCCTTTAAAAATGCCCCAAACACTTACAACACCTAATATATTATGTATAGTAAACTACAAAACATTTGTATAGAGTAAACATGGGCATTCCTCGTGTCGTACTTCTTTTGGGCCGGGCTTCGAAAAACCCAACCAAATAACCCAAGTCTTACCCAACACAGTAGAAAACAATGTTATTTTTCCTAGTTCAAAACAATAAATTAACCAGAGCATATCAATACATTATTATACATATTTTCACTGAAATGCCATTTTTTAGCATTCCCTGGTTTTTTGGGTTGGGCCTTCCGGCCAAAAATTAAGCCCAAAACCGACCTGATGGTTGGGCTTCACATTCAGACTGTGGGCAGGGCTGCCCATGTTCAGATTTAGTGCTTTGACACACAATTGTAAACATAAACTGTAGCTAATTTTATAAACCTTTTACCCTAGCGTGGATAATAATGCATCATTTTTTGTCACTACTCACTAGGCATGCTTAACATTTAGTACTAGTGATCTACTCCATCTAATGCACACTGATTTCACTATTGTTCATTCACATGAACAAGCCGACGATAGACTAATTGAATGAATACCCAATGTACTATAAGTAAACCATATAGCAAAATAATATCATAGTTGTATGGTTGTTAGCGGACCAAGTTAGTAAATCCAATGGCTAAAAATAATTTAATGACATGGCTCATTATGATTCGTGAGAGTATAAAATAACTATTAATGCGTTAGAAAACGAGGATCAATCCATGACATCCACGTCCGCTTATGAAACAACCATATATTATTGATTACTAAATATCTAAGTGAAGCCCATCATTGATGCCAAATGAATCGGCTTAAGAAAATAAAAATAAAATATGAGGTTGTTCACAAGTGGATCTATCTCACAAGTGTGTCTTCACTAACGTAGATGAACCCTATGCCATATGAACCTCGTGTGATGGAACAATAGATAAAAACATTATTAATGTATGGTATGAGATGCGCCGGAGCGGCCCATGGCAACCATGGAACCAGTGGAGGAGCTTGATGAAGATTGTTGAGGGGCCAAGAAGATAAGTTAT